GCCTGGGCTTGTTCTTGGTAGCGCAAAACCCATCTTATAATAAGGGCACCGTTCAACCATGAACCAAAACAGTTCAAAGGGTACCTTTGGGCTACCAAGTCGTAAGGGGGGGGGAGGGAGTAGGGTTGGGGCTTTGGGGTTTCAGGCTTGGGGGCTTAGGCCGTGGGGCTCAGGATCCAAGGATTTGGGCTTCGAGGGCTTCTGAGATCCAAAGCCTGTATCCCCCAAAATGCTTCCTACCGTACCAGCAGCTGAGAAGAGTAGGCTGGTTTTTCAACGATGCCCAGTGGGCTGTTGCCAGCAAAGTTACACAGGGTCAGGGGCATTTAGCGTTCAGGGTTTAGGGTTTGGGGGTTCAGGTTTCAAGATTTAGAGACAGATACAACGTCCGCGGCTGCTTCCCGGCATTCACAGGTATCGTCGAGGGACAAAAGCAGCGCCCAAGTGGCCAAGCTACATCTGCTGAAGATCGACATGTTCCTTCACGAAACCCTCCCTAACACGACCTGACCCCGATCTGCATCGAGCCTTTGTGGCTTGGATGTTGGACATGTCTACCGGCAAGCCAAGTGCTTGAGCCAGCAGCTTTCGGTCGATTAGGAATGAGCCTAAACCCTAAACCCCAGACCCTAGACCCTAAACCCTTAACCCTTAAACCCAATAATGAACTCCTCCATCTGCTAACGGGACATGCCTCTAGCTTGCCCCTGCGCGAACAGGGGGCCAAGAAACACATAAACATAAGCATTCTACAAAGAGGGTTTTTCAGAATCTCCCCTTATCGGGGCCCTTGTACCCCGCGAGTAGGATCCTTCTGTTTGTGTGCTTTTTGGGCTCCTAAGGGCAGTGGGCGTCTATCCACCATGTGCCACTTACCCATGCTTGCGTTGCGCGTAGCCAGGAGAATCCGGGCGCATGGGGAGGGGATGTCCAGGCTGTAGGATGTAGGTGGAGGGTCAGTCTTGAAATCTCAGTACCACTGTCCTCAACATCAAAGCTGATCTGGCGAATTCCGTCCTGGCTTGATTCAGCATCCAGTGTTTAAGGCATTCTTCAGCATGTGTACTGTCGATCAAGCAACCGACGGGTGTCTTACAGCAACCAAGGGAACCAGGCAGACACACACCGGCACTCCGGTCTTCCGAACAGGCAAACGACAGATCACAAACATCGTGCGCTATGACATGCAAGCGTTTTTCTGCTGAAGATGCGGGGCGCAGCCTCCTGGTGAAACTCCGCCCATCCCTTGCGCCACTTGTTCACAGCGGCATCTAAAGTGTCAACGCCCCATCGAAACCGGTAAGCTGCAGCGACTTTGCTCGTGGATTCTAAAGCCGAATGCAAGCTGCGATCAAGCCGACGTTCCAAGGCAGCACCATACTTTCCGTAGACGCTTGCTTGGCAAGCTGGTCCACGAGTCTTGCCGGAGTTCCAAACCCTTCGGCTTTCAGGTTTGGGCATTACTTAATTAGTCCCAGACCGTGCCGTGCCCCTGTGTCAGACACAGATGTCCGGCCACGTGCAAGCAGCAACGGCCTGAGATGACCTAAGTCTTGGCAAGGGCACTTGAAGGTTCACGGATACTTCTTAAAGTAGGGTTATAAGCACCCTAGCTCAAGGTTACAACCAAAGCTACCCTACCATGTAGCCCTACTTATGAGTACCCTAACGAACCTCCAAGAGCGAGGTTCAACGTGCAAAAGCTTCCGAGTCCCCTCAACCCTAAACCCTAAACCCTAAACCCTAAACCCTAAACCCTAAACCCCCTCCCTGTTCCAGGCCTTCCATGGTGGAAGCCCCTGGTCCAGAAGATGATTCCTTGGTGCATCGGAAGCGGAAGCCACGTCGCTACCCTATAAATCCAATAAACCCAATAAACCCTATAAACCCTATAAACCCTATAAACCCTATAAACCCTATAAACCCTGTAAACCCTAAAAAGCCCTTAAAACCCTATAAATCCTATAAACTCCATGAATCCTATAAACCTATAAACCCTATAAACCCTAGAGCCCGAAACAGCAAAGAGAGACGGCCCTCTCGTACTTCAAGCGGAGATGACTGTACTGACTGTAGATGACCTAAGTCTTGGCAAGGGCGCTTGAAGGTTCAAGGATACTTCTTAAAGTAGGGTAATAAGTACCCTAGCTCAAGGTTACAACCAAAGCCGGAGATGACTGTACTGGAACATCTGTAACATGGTCGGTTCGAGTTGATGCGGGGCACTTGCCAGCCCACGAGTGATTCGATTCCCCTAAACCCTAAACCCAAACCCCAAACCCTAAACTCTAAACCCTGAACCCTAAACCCTAAACCCTAAACCAAGGAACTGATTCTGCTTTCCTAGGATGGCCCTTAAAACCCTCTGAAAAAGCATTCCTGAATATGATCCGCTTCAACCGAATCAGGCAAAATCTTAAACATCCCAAGGGCCTTCCTAGGCAAATAGTATCCCCAAACCCTAAACCCTAAACCCTAAACCCCAAACCCTAAACCCTAAACCCTAAACCCCAAACCCCAAACCCTAAACTGATTCTGCTCTCAGTTCTTGGGCCCCAGCGGAGAATGATCAGGCTAGCCCTGCGAGGCGATGTTCTCCAAGACGCGCAGGCTGAGCAGGCTGCCCTCCGCAACGGGGTTTAGGGTTTAGGGTTTAGGGTTTGGGGTTAGGGTTTAGGGTTTAGGGTTTAGGGTTTAGGGGTTAGGGTTTAGGGTTTAGGGTTTAGGGTTTAGGGTTTAGGGTTTAGGGTTTAGGGTTTAGGGTTTGGGGTTTGGGGTTTGGGGTTTGGCGTTTGGGGTTTGGAGTTTAGGGTTTAATTAGGGTTTAGGAATGCGGCGACTGTGCGACTTCACAGGAGCTTGCACCGGAGCACGCTAGCTGAACGCGTATCTTATAGAACCTGGACTATTCTACGACCATGTTCAGCTTTTTCCTAGGATGCCGCTGCGTGCCGTGAGGTGTTCTGAGCCTGCTCTTGCGTGTCACGAATCAGCAGCTCGTTGTTGCCATCCTGACAAAGGTACCCAAACTTGCTCGGTTCCACACATAAAGTCGGCTCAGACCAGTTGCGGACAGGCAATCCCTGGCCTCCGCAAATCCTGCCGCAGCCTTAGGAGTTGCTATCAACTCAACTTGCCACGCTGTAGTGAACCCCAGGGTTCGCTAACCGATTCTAACTCCTTCATCCCCCCTTCTGGAAACCTGCCAGAAGCCATTTATAGGTAGCTTTGCTACACTCTTGGTAGCCGCAGGGTTCAGAAGCAGCCCTGAGCCTGATCCCGTCTGGAACCCTCTGCGATCACTCTCTTTGTTTTTGTCTCTCTCTCTCTCTCCCTAAGAAATTACACGCATGTATACCTGAAAAGTATACGAATGGAAGCATAAATGCAAACTTCAATAGTGCAGCATGTACATTTGTTGGACAAGAGGCCGGCCGCCCGCTCAGAGTGTCGAAAGCAGCCGTCACCCAGTTTACGGGTAAGTCAGGTGGGTCGTAGCTTTGCAATGACCTGGTGCCGTCCCAGCCGCCACTCACGACGATCAACATCAATACCAGATTCACAAACTGGCTCAAGCAGCTCAACCGCGACACCACTGAAGCTTGACTCTAAGCCGCACGTGCCTCGCTGGCTTGACCCTCTGAGCGAGCGTGCCAAAAGCCTCACGGTCATCATGCAAGCTACGACAGCTACGATCAAGGCTCACGGCTCCGTGTTGAAAATGTTGAAGACTTTTGGCTTTGCCTGTGGCTCAGGCGCGCCCTCGAACACCTGCGAGGCCCCTTATTTCACACCCCGAACTACGCCTCCCCCTCCTCTCCCCCCTGCTCTCCCCAAGCCTGTGTGATCCAGTTGCCACCCTTGCCGGGCGGCACCGCCCGCGGCGTACCCGGCTCATCGAGGTAGCCCACAAGGGCATGCACCAAGAATGCGTAGGGCTCCTGACGGTGACGGGGTGAAGGACGAGGGCTTTGACGGAGGCCCTCTGCCCCTTTTCTCTGGACAGCTGGTTTCGAGAGTAGATTTGCCAGGACAGGACATGGATAACAAAGACTCATGAGGCAAGGCCGCACTCTCTCTGCTTCTTCCAAGCCACTGCCCAACGATTCTCCAGTCATAAGCCCCAAACCCTAAACCCTAAACCCTAAACCCTAAACCCTAAACCCTAAACCCTAAACCCTAAACCCTAAACCCTAAACCCTAAACCCTAAACCCTAAACCCTAAACCCTGAACCCAAGCTCACTAGGCTGTGACAGCTAGTAGCCGAGCCGCAGCTACGAAAGCGCAGTCTGCCACCAGCATCTTCAGCCTGCCACCAGTCCAGCTGCCGCTGCCACAAACGCGCTGCCTTGACAGGACAACAGCCGGTTTAGGGTTTAGGGTTTAGGGTTTAGGGTTTAGGGTTTAGGGTTTAAGGTTGACCATTGTGCGACAGAACGCGCGTGACCAAATGAACCCTAAAACGGGTTTGTGGCTCATACACCTTAACAGGGATTCTAGTAAAGTATATGGCCAGGGCATATTTCCCTAATCTTGAGGCTCATCTGCTCCTCACGGTACTTGCTTGAAGCTCCATGACACACGCACTCGAAGTGAAGCACCTATAAGGGATGCAAGCCATGCAAAGGCAGCCACTCTTCTTCGCAGCCTCAGGCGTCTTCGGAGAAAGGCGCGCAGGGCTTCCATGAGGAACTCCGACTCCATTTTGGAGACGGGCGCAGCGCTGGCAGCGGGTAGTACTGATCCAAAAGGTCACACTGTCTGCCCATGCACTCGCCGGAATCTTCATGTGTATGCATGCCTAAAGATGTACTGCAGCTATGGTATGAATACCTGTTCGGAAGTCTCCACTGTTGCTGCTGTAGGAGCTACTCCAACAACCCTACAGCCTAAGCCCAAAACTCTAAACCCTAAACCCTAAACCCTGCAGTGTTCCTGGTGAAGGATGGCTCTGAAATGTCTTACGTGCAGTGGCGGTCTCAGCTCTGAGCCTGCAACGGCACGAAGTTCCAATGCCACGAACTTGCTTACCTCCAAAAAAGGGTTTAGGGTTTAGGGTTTGGGGTTTAGGGTTTAGGGTTTGGGTGTTTTTGGGTTTTGGGGTTTGGGTTTTAGGGTTTAGGGTTAAGGTTTAAGGGCTTAGGGTTAAGGTTTCTACTCTACTACCCCCCCGCCTCAAAGCCCTATTCTCGTGACTAAGGCCCACACCCACAAGTCTCAATCCTAAACCCTCAAGGACGCTGAGCCCAATTCAATCCACAAAGAGCCCTAAACCCTAAACCCTAAACCAACCCTGAGCCAATTTACGGCGGGTCTCAACGGCCTCAAAGCATCTGAATCCTTGCATCTGACACAAAGTCTCAAGGAAAACGGGCAACCACAGCTTGTGCCGGGCGTTCAGTGGTGCCTTTCATTTCAGGCAGCCGCGCCGCCAGTGCCAAGAAGCGGAGGAAGGCAAAGAAACACGGCCCTAAACCCTAAACCCTACACCCTACACCCTACACCCTAAACCCTAAACCCTAAACCCTAAGTTCAGGGCGTGCGCTGACCTTCCCCTGTCTCGCAGCGGAAAAGCACCGCCGTCCGAGAGATAGCGGCCAGTGATACTGCTTCAAGTGCCCGAAACCCTAAACCCTAAACTGTCAGGGGTTCTTGGGTGTATAGTGCTCAGTCCGAAACCCTAAACCCTAAACCCTTACGGGTTCTGTGTAGTAGCTCAGTCGTGCTCAGGCGTCTTGAACCAACCCTAAACCCTAAACCCTAAACCCTAAACCCTAAACCCTAAACCCTAAACCCTAAACCCCATGCTAGCACAAGAGAACCGTCTGACGCTGGCTGCTATCTCAGGCAGACATTGGAGCAGTCATCCATCTCGGAAAGCATGCAACAGCGTGACGTCCCTGGCACGAACCATGGTGCAAACCCTAAACCCTAAACCCTCAACCCTAAACCACACGCCCTTCAATCAACCAAAGCTTATTTCCTATGCATCGAAGTAGGGGCACTGATGCCAAGGATGTACATAAAGATTAAAGATATATGCAGGCAACGGTGAACTGCCGCTCGGGTAGAGACCCAGCTTGCAAACAAGGCGAGTGCGACACCCCGCGCGCAATCACCGCCGCCCTCGGCCTGTGCGCTCACAGGCCCGCAGGGGTCTGCGATTCCCCAGGCTTCAACAGACCTGCAGGGTTTAGGGTTTAGGGTTTAGGGTTTAGGGTTTGGGGTTTGGGGTTTAGGGTTTGGGGTTTGGGGTTTGGGGTTTGGGGTTTGGGGTTCGGGGTTCAGGGTTTAACGTAGACAAGGAAAGGCACCGAATGGCTGAGATGCGCATCCGCTTGCGAGCAAGGCAACACGCTTGAAAGCGCTTTCGTCTCCTGCATATGACGCGAGCTCTGCTCGTAGAGAGTGGAGAGACAGTGAAACCAGGGTTTCAGATTCGCAGAGAAACAACGTGGTCCTATTGACAAAAAAATGTCACGTCATGTGCCCTACCAGTCGTCTGAGACTGTACACTGTACATCGAGCAACTCAGGATTCACTTGTAGGGCCTACTGCTCTCGGTCCTTCTGCAACTTTCGGACGTTGTTCCTGCCCAGCTTTCGGACGGTTGTATCTGCTTCTGCAACCTCAGCGATACTTGCAAGTCATTACTCTCTTGGAGGCCGTCTGGCCTTTGAGAATCTGCTGCCTCTCAGTACAGACTTAGGGGTTGATGTGTCCTATGCCTATAAGGGTACCCTTACTTCCACCCTCTACTTCCCCACCAAGAACTATAGTGGGATAACACCAGTATTCTCTACGATGCCCATGAAGATCCATAGCTCCATGACTTCATCTTGGGGCCCAGGCCGTGATCATGGTCTCCACCATGTCGGCAACTCGGGCATCTAGCCTTCGTAGCCCAGCAACCATCTTACAATAAGGGCACCCTTTTTTAGGGTTTAGGGTTTAGGGGTTTTTGCCTTGGTTACTTTGCAAGAAACCCAGAACCAAAAAAAGGGTAAAGGGTACCACTGGCCTACCAAGTAGCTGTCCCCGATCCGCCAGATCCCGGACGCAAAGGCTGCGGAGCTGAGCCGCGTGCCTCTTGCTTGCGCCCTGGCACTCGGTGGAGTTCTTCCACTTCCGGACGGAAGCTTGACCTCTTAGTTGCTGAGTTCATATGCCCCCCCCAAAAAATATAGTGTAAACCTTCAGTTCGATCGGGGAGTCTGGCATCCCCCCAAAAAACCGGAAAGTGTGCTCACTCAGCTGCTAAGACCTCCAGGGTTCCGGAAGACCAGCACCTTGGTAGTCCAGTAACCATCTTATGACAAGGGCACCCCTTTTTTGGGTTGGTTACCTTATACAGGAGCCCTAATAACCCTAAAAGGGGTAGAGGGTGCCACTGGGCTACCAAGTTTCGTCAGCACCCTAAACCCTAAACCCTAAACCCTAAAAACCCTAAGCCCTAAGCCCTAAGCCCTAAACCCTAAACCCTCAACCCTAAACCCTAAATCCTAAACCCTAAACCCTAAACCAAGGCACAACTCCCTCGTGCTCTCCATCTCTGAGGCTTCTCGCCATGCTTTCGACGACTTCGGCGTGGGTCGACTGCGGCAGGCCGTCGGCCACTTCGCAACCCGCTTCCCTTGGTAGCCCAGTAGAACCATATTAGGATAAGCGCACCCTTTTTGGGCCTGGCTACTTTATAAAAGGAGCCCATAAGCCCCAAAAAAGGGTAAAAGGCAAACCCTCAACCCTAAACCCTCAACCCTCAACCCCAAACCCTAAACCCTAAACCCTAACCCTAAACCCTAAACCCTAAACCCTCAACCCTCAACCCTCAACCCTAAACCCTAAACCCCAAACCCTAAACCCTAAACCCTAAACCCTAAACCCTAAACCCTAAACCCTAAACCCTGCCAAGTTTCGTCAGCAGCTGCCGGAGGGCGGGGCATAGGAGCAGTCGGGCTTTCTGTCCCTCCGGAGAGATGCTGTGTGCGAAGCCTCCCTCCTTGGGGACCCAAGGAACCCTAAACAAGAAGGGTTTAGGGTTTAGGGTTTAGGGTTTAGGGTTTAGGGTTTAGGGTTTAGGGTTTAGGGTTTAGGGTTCCTATCCTACAGGCCCCACAACAAGGTCGCGCGCATGGAAAGCCGTGTCACTGTTCAAGGGTGCACATGTGCTTATTCTCGAGTACTGGGCAGGCTTTTACGACAAGTAAAGGATACTCAGAAAAGCCTTTAACTATGCGTTTTGTTAACATATTCCACCGATTTTCGAGTAAATTGCAATTGTTGGCGGTGGTCTTCTCGTCCGGTTTAAAGTGCGAACCTGCAAACAGACCACACAACCCCCTGTGCCCAGGAGGGTGACCCCGGGCAAAGTAAGGAGCAAGCCCTGTAAACGTAGCGCAGGACCCAAGCAAGAAGAAAACCTCCAAACTCAAGACACATCACCTGGGCATAGACTGAAAAGGCGTCGCTGGAGTGCTTTAGGACACAGAGCAGCATCTGCATGTAGACTTTAAACAATTCTCCTGATTAAGCTATGTGACCCATAAGTGAACCCAATTTCAGGTGACTGGGCAGTGGAAGATTGCATCGTCTGCATTCGAGCAATGCGGAAAGTGCACCACACAACCAAGCCGACATGAGGACTGGGTTCGGTACCGCCAGAAAGCTGCGGAGAGCCGACGTGGCGGATGAGTTGAGACGATCCGTGTGAGTGCGTCAATGGTAGAAGACGTAATCAAACCCCCCCCCCCCCCGCCCCAGAGCAGAAGAGTGAGACAATCGGTGTGAGCCCCCCCCCCCCCCCAACCCAAGAAAACCTGAGCAGAAGAGGGAACTTGTTAAAAGCCTTCTAGTGATTCCTAAAACCTAAACCCGAAACCCCAAAACCCTAAACCCTAAACCCTAAACCCTAAACCCTTAAACCCTAACCTTCAGGCCAAGGGTTCTTGCAGCTTCTCGGACAAGGCGAGGATGTCCGTCGCATCCTCGAGCTTCGGTAGCTTCACCACCACGCCGAAGCAGATCCACTTCTCGGAAAGCCCCCGCTCCTAGGGTTTAGGGTTTAGGGTTTAGGGTTTAGGGTTTAGGGTTTAGGGTTTAGGGTTTAGGGTCTAGAGTCTAGGGTTTAGGGTTTAGGATTTAAGGTTTAGGGTCTAATACTGAACTTGGGACCCGCAAGAATTATAACTTTAGCTGTTTCTTGGGAAGTAAAGTACCCAAAAATCCAAAAATGTTTCCAAGTATCCCTAAGGCTCAAGGTAGTTGTAGTATCCAGGGTTGCACATGAGCTCCCCCCAAGCACACACCGATCCTGGGGCGAGCTCCATGCAGAGGACCCGCGAGAGCTCCGCGCGCACGAGCTCGATGGTGCAGCCGCGGCAGGCAGCGGTGCTTGTGTTGAGGTATGTTTCAGCCTCCTTGCCCACCTTACTGTTTGTCAGTAGAAAAAGGTACCCTATAGAATCCCTTAAAGTATATATATATATATATATAGATAGCGCCATAATTCCCTCACTCCCTGCTAATCAACAGCAAGCCACGAGATGCCGGCGTCCGGAGAGTGCGCCATTGTCCAGCTTCCCGAAGCAGGTGCCGTCGTACTTGATGGTGGCCGAGTGGAGGGGCAGCTCCAGGAGAGCCCTTCTTCTACTCTTTTCTCTTTTTTTTCAGGGTGCTCATGGAAGAATAGAGCCTACTCTTTGCCTTTAAGAACCCCCGAAAAGCAGAAAGCATGAGAAGCCCTATGTTAAGCTTAGTCAGGAAGAATATTTCTACTTTTCCTGGGTTCTTAAGCCATTAGTAGTTCTGGGCTGTGCAAAAAAAAGCCCTTGACCAATTATTTTATGAGAGCGGCCCCCTTAATGAGGAACATAGGGAAAAAAAAAAACTAGCCCAAAGCACAACCCAGCCAGCCTCTCAAGCTCCCTCCGCATCATGGTCTGCTCCCCTGGCTGGGCGCTACGGTACGCGCTGACCTGGGTTGGCCTTTAAACTCTCTGAAAAATACTTATATACAGGGTCCCTTTATACACCCAAAGAAGGAAAATACAAAATGTCCCAAAAACCTAGTGACCTGCTCGTAGACCCATGTCGCATAGTTGTCAATGCTGGCCCATGCCATTCCCGAGTCCTGTCCCCTGCTGTCATCGTTCTTCACCCTGCAGCTCCCCTTCTTCCAGAGCCCATAGCTCTTGCCGACCATCTGCATCACAAACTTCCGCAACTGCTCTTCGCGGAAAGGCGTCGTGATGCTGGGCCTGAGGTCCTCGTCTTGCCGCATTTCTTGCGCCAGCATCTCGGCAACAGCTGCCACGGACATGCCGTCACTGAAGTAGGTGCCTATGCTGTCATACTTGCTTAGAGCACTGGTAAGTGCCGCGTCCAGCATTGTCTGAAAGTTCAGCTGGCTCCCACCCTCCTGCTCTGGGCCGGCAACGGACCCACTGTGGCAGGATTCGGTTTCCATGCCTAACACTCTCAAGAGTGGTTGCGCCCGCTTCTTGCAGACCGCAAACATACTGGCAAGGAGTGGCTTCCAATGGCTTCCAAAGCCCTGTCTGCGGCAGTCGCACACCCTTGGGGGTTTCCAACGAATTCAGGCGACACTGATGATGCAACATACTACAAGAACATAAACTGGAATAGAAAATTATGCGGACGCTCTCTCTCTCTCTCTATGTATATATAAACACATATATTTGTATACATATATATATATATAGGTGTGTCTGTATATATATATATATTCATATATAGGTGTCTCTCTCTCTCTATATATATATGTATATACAATTTTGTGTATATATATATATACAGCGTTGCAGCGTGCTGGAGCTACCAGCCTTCTGCAGGTGCAAGCGCGCACACCGGAGCTGTATGTACCTTAGACTGGACATTCATGGTGCGACTGCAAGCGCTACATTTAAGCAGCCTAGGCTACGGCAACGCCATGATGACTTGCAGCACTCACTGGTACGACATGCTTGGAGGTTCATGGGGTGCTTATACGTCGGGGTATAAGGACCCGAATCATGTTAAAACCACAGCTACCCTACTTATATTCGCACTTGTAAGTAAGGGTACTTGTTAGTGAGAATATAAGCACGGTAACTGTGGTTATTACCTTATTTAAGGTCTTTATAACCCGTACTTAGAATGAACTGCCAAGAATGGGTTGGGAGGCGCGGTGATAGGTTTTAGAGTTTAGGGTTGAGGGTTTAAGTTTCAGGGCTGCTATCTGCTGAGCTGCAGATTTCTCAGAGTTCTCGCCGGCTGGCTGCCACCAACGCATCAGAGATCCATCCTGAGCAGCCCCAAAAAGACAGCATACCCCAAACCCTAAACCCTACACCCTGAACCTTCATGACCCGGATGAATAGAAATTGTATGTAATCTCATTCTGAACCTACAAAGTTGTTTGTCGTAACAAGCTGGCGCCACACAAAACCCCGTCCCCAACGAAATTCCAGAAACCATCTAAGTAAGTTGATCCAAAGCGCCCCTGGCTGCTTCAAGGGCAAGCAAAACAAACAACATTCGGCCAAGAAAGCAAAAAAGAAAACGCGCTCAAACTTTCGGTCAAATTGTTCGGTCAAAACTCCGGACCCAAACCCTATACAATTTCTATAAACCCTAAACCAAAAAACCCAGACCCTACAAACCCTAAACCCTAAACCCTAAACCCTAAACTCGATACCCTAAACCCTAAACCCTAAACCCTAAACCCTAAACCCTAAACCCTAAACCCTAAACCCTAAACCCTAAACCCTAAACCCTAAACCCTAAACCCTAAGCGGCCCCCCAGTCCCTGCCCGCCAAGCCTTCTCCAGCATCACTGCTCAACTGCAAGGGGGCCTCCGTGTCGCCAAGAACCTGAGAGGTTTAGGGTTTAGGGTTTAGGGTTTAGGGTTTAGGGTTTAGGGTTTAGGGTTTAGGGTTTAGCATGTCTTCTGGGTTGATGGCGTTTTCAAGGAACGTAACGGTTTAGGGTTTGGGGTCTGGGGTTTAGGGTTTAGGGTTGAGGGCTTAGGGTTTAGGATTTAGGTTTCCAAAGCTTTCGTAGCACATGCTCCTCATCCTACCGATGGAGCAGAACACACTCAAAAGAGAGACACTTTTGCCAAATGTTTTGGGTTCAGGGGTTGGGTTGGGTTTGAGAACACTCAGAACATCGCAGGAACCCAGAACAAAAGACAGAACAGTCGTGGCCTGTGTCGTAAGAATGTGCTTTGGAAAGTTCCGAGCAGAACTGCATAGAATCTATCAGGCTACGGTTCATTGACAACTTAAAATCGGAGGGCGTGGTCTGCCATGAAGGTGGCTTGACATGGCCAGCATACTGTGCGGCAGACTGAATCATAAACAAACTCACCCCCAGACGCTCTCTAAACTATCCAAGGCACCCACTCTGTCGAAATTTGGTGAGTCTTTTCGCTAAACTCAAAACAAGATCCTACAAGCCTACAAGGACAAGCAGCGGTGCAAGTCAAATCAGTCACATGGCGAGAAATCGAAATCCCACCCACTCTGAAACTGCTCACTTCTGAGCAGTTGCTCAGTGCCCAATTTTGCCACTAGTCTACCAATGGCTTAAGAACACCAAAAAACATTCTTCCCCATTAAGGGTAATATAGGGAGTATTACTTTCTATTCTTTTGGGGTTCTTAAGCAGATAGTAGTAGTCATCTAGTCATTTGCTTGCACCAGATAGATGGACATTGGGCCTTCCGCAAGACGAATTCGCCTCAGAGAGCTCCCATGCGTCTTTGTTCGACACCAGGCAAGCATCTAGAAGTGTTTCCACTGCCCCAAGGCGAACATGCGGAGATCTAGAGTTTAGGGTTAGGATTTAGGGTTTAGGTTTAGGGTTTAGGAAACCCAAACAATGAACGATGCCACATCCATCTCCAGATTCTCCACGTGAGGATGACCTCTCAACACCCTTACAGTGGGAATCTGAAGCCCCAAACCCTGAACCCCATGGTGCAAGGAACGCACAAAGATCCGCCGCCCCTGTGTTGCCAAGGGCATTTCTGAGCAAAATGTGGAACAAGTTAGAGGGGACCAGCTTGTTCTAGACCCGAGATGCGGGGTTGTGACCAAAGGGGGGTGGGGGGGGGGGGGGGTGGAGAGGGGGCGGCCACATAAATTTATACATGTCACAATAACACAACATGACAGACAATGCATTAGGTACATCCACGTATATATACAGATATACATATATACATATACATGTACATATACATAAATAAATAAAAGAAATAAATAAACATACATATATATATATATATGTACATATATATATATGTATATGTGTGTGTGCATATATTTATATATATGTATATGTTTTGTACACATATGTTGGAGAGCAGAACCATATCTCTATACATATGCATGTGTATATGTATATATATATATATACACATATTTCTTATCTATTTATGTATCTATTGATGTATCTATTTATGAACTTGCTTATTCTCTAATTATGTATTTATGCATGTATTTCTTTATGTACTTTCAACATAAAATGGGCAAAACAAACAAAGAACACACAACAACAAACAAGAATGGACAAGAGGCCGGCCGCCCGCTCAGAGCGTCGAAAGCAGCCGTCACCCAGTTGACGGGCAAGTCGGGCGGGTCGTAGCTTTGCAACGACCTGGTGCCCAACGGGCGCCGTCCCAGCCGCAACAGCCCAAGAGTCAGGCTCACGACGCCGATCAACATCAAAACCAGATCCGCAAACCGACCCAACCAGCTCAACTAGGGTTTAGGGTTTAGGGTTTAGGGTACAAGAGCCCTGAAGCTTGAGTCTCCGCCCCTCATGCCTCGTTGGCTTGACCTTCTGAGCGAGCGTGCCGAAAGCCTCGCGGGCATCATGCAAGTTACGATCAAGGCTCCAGGCCCGCGCCTTCCTCTTTCCCCCCTGCTCTCCCCAAGCCTGTGTGATCCAGTTGCCGCCCTTGCACGCCGGCACTGCCCGTGGCGTACCCGGCTCGTCGAGGTAGCCCACAAGGGCATGCACCAAGAATGCGTAGGGCTCCTAGCGGACACAGGCACGGGGTGAAGGACGAGGGCTTTGACAAACACTTGTGCGGGCGGCAGGCAAGGTCGCACTCTCGCCAAGCTGCTTAGACCCTTAAACCCTAAACCCTAAACCCGCTCAACGATGCTTCAGCCTGTAAGTCATAAGCTATGGCAGCCAGTAGCCGAGCCGCAGCTACGAAAGCGCAGTCTGCCACCAGCATCTTGAGCCTACCACCAGTCCAGCTGCCGCTGCGACAGACGCGCTGCCTTGCTAGGGAAGGTCTGTGGGTCAGCTATCAACGATGCTGGCAGTGCGACATTGTGTGAACCCAAGGAATACCATACCAGACGATGCGTTGCATGTGCAGAAAAGTTCGAGGCCTGAAGCTAAAACCCAGCCTGCGTGGCCCGTTACGCCTTGGCGCACAAAAACAAAAACTCCCCTCTCCCCGCGGCCTCAGGCGTCTTCGGAGAAAGGCGCGCAGCGCTTCCATGAGGAACTCCGACTCCATTCTGGAGGCGGGTGCAGCGTGGGCAGCGGGCCCTGGTCAAAAGGTCCACTATCCGCCACAGCAAGCACTCGCTGGCTAGACCCGGTGTGTTCCACCTGTTGACCTGTATTTACTTGTGGTGTCATTCTAAAGCTTTTTTTGCACAGCTTGTGTGTACATCATAGAGCTACTCGAATTATATAAGTGGCTGCTGTGATGGTGGTGAAGGCGAAGGATCTCTCACAGCTGTCTGGCGTGCAGTGGCGGACACAGTTCTGAACCTGGCGAGCGCAATGTCAGCTTTCCAGCTTTGGTTTAGGGTTTAGGGTTTAGGGTTTGGGGTTAGGGTTCGGGGTTTAGGGTTTCGGGTTTAGGGTTCAGGGTTTAGGGTTTGGGGTTTAAGGTTTAGGGTTTGGGGTTTGGAGATTAGGGTTTAGGGTTCAGGGTTTAGGGTTTAGGGGCATGTAGGGTTGCAGAGTTACTTACTTGGCTGTTGGTTTCAAACCAACATGTAGAGCAAGCTAAGGTTCCCAACCATGTTCTTACTCCGCACTTAGGGGCCATCAAGTTGCCAGGATGTCGGCTCAGCAGGCTCTGGAGCTCGTGGTTTCGGGCTTAGGGTTCATTGTTTAGGGCTTAGGGTTTCGGATTTCCCAACCCTCAACCCTCAACCCTCAACCCTCAACCCTCAACCCTCAACCCTCAACCCTCAACCCTCAACCCTCAACCCTCAACCCTCAACCCTCAACCCTCAACCCTCAACCCTCAACCCTAAAAAGGATTCCACAAACAGGGTTTTCCAAAAAATCCCCCCTATGGAGGCCCTTATGCCCCAATAGCAGGACCCTTTTGTTTATGTGGTTTTTTTGGGCTCCTGACTGACACCTGTCGCTGCAGTGTTGGGTCTTTGCGTATTGGCTTGAGGACTTGGCAGCACCGAGCATATAGTTAAGGGTGGGCCTCGTCAAAGCTCTAGGGTTCATATAAAGAGCAACGAGAATCATGACCAAAGGTTTAGGGTTTAGGGTTTAGGGTTTAGGGTTTAGGGTTTAGGGCTTAGGGTTTCGGGAAAGCAGCAAGAGCACGGGTCAGAAGGTTCAATGCCAAAGCTCCCAAAATCCTAAGGTGGTGCTGCTAGTGGGTGTAGACGCAACGTACTAGAACATAATGACTGCAACGTGCTAGTATATAAGATGAAGTGTAATAAACTTCAATAAACCAGTACCCGTACATAAAATCTACAACTCGACAACACGCTTCAAATACTATAAGTACTAAACGTACTATGAACTGAGAATACAACTGAGGCTGCACGTGCTGAAGGCGGCGCATACGACAAACACCGGTATGTTCATCTACGTTGTGTATTTTATATGCGACCAAATATTTTGATATCCGCCCATATACAAAAACAGATCATAGGGAATACTGAAATTCCATGAAAGACCGTAGTGTTCTGCTTTAGGAACGAACGATGCTCTCCTTTCTTACTGTGCACGCGAGAGGAAACTCGCCTTGAAAGTTCGTGTTGATACAGATATGCATAAATAAAGAAGCACATGTGTGTGCGTTTAGACATGTGTATTTATACTCCCCCTGACGATCCTCGGCCTTTTTGACGCAGCAAATGCGAAAGCCCAATCGTCCTCAGCTTGAACGATCGTGCTTTTCTAACGGCTAAGCCAATGACGCTTAGGTGCCCTCTCAGCCGTGCTGAGTGCTGAAGTCCAGGGTGCCTTCGATCACAATGGCCTGTTACGGGGCCGCGGTCGTGTTCGCGCGAAGCCTACTTGGCATTTCATGGGTACTATAGTTACCCTGCTTATTATGTCTCTGCTTATCGGTAGCGTTATAAGGACTCCCATAAGGCTAGACCCATGGTTACCCTGCCTAATTTAACTCTATCCTAAACCCTAAACCCTAAACTATGTACCCATGAACCTCCAAGTAGTGCAGAATCGAGGCATGTTGCGTCTCAAGCTGACGCTCCATGCCTGTTCCCTTTGTGTCAGTGCAAAAAAACCGCACAGCACCAGGGTTTCGGGTTTAGGGTTTAGGGTTTAGGGTTTAGGACGACGGTGAACGGGATCTGGGGGCAGGCCCATGCAAGGAGAAGCAGCAATCTGATTGCAGCCCTTTCAATGACGATACTTCTGCCAGCGAGTATCACATGGGTATCTTATTCTACAATAATATTTTTTGATATACTAAAATATAAAGTAATGTAATAAATATGCGTATATATATATATACCGCTATAGATAGCCCACATATATATATATATATATGTGCATATATATATACACACATATATATATATATATATATGTGAAATCTGCCTTCTTTTTAGCACAGAGTCTGTTGGCAACAGCTCGAAGCTTGGGAAAGAGAGCTGTGAAGAGGTGACGCACCAGGAGCTCTAGCAATCCTGGCACCCATCCGCGCGCCCAAGCTCTGCCTTAATTAGGGTTTAGGGTTTAGGGTTTAGGGTTTAGGGTTTAGGGTTTAGGGTTTAGGGTTTAGGGTTTGGGGCTTAGGGTTTAGGGTTTAAGGTTTAGGGTTTAGGTGCCATACATGGGCTTTAGCACAGCTTTCTGCGCATAGCCCTCCAGACTCGCAAGACTTCAGGACGGCGGATCTGGCACAGTCCACCGAAGTCCTGCAGCTCTAGTAAAATCTTCACTGGGATGGCCCTTAAAAGCCTCTGAAAAATATTCGACATATGGCCCTCTTAAACCCAATAAGAGAAGAACATGCAAAATACCCTAAACCCTAAACCCTAAACCGTAAACCCTAAACCCTGAACCCTAAACCCTAAACCCTAAACCCCCAAGGGCCTCCTAAGTCATTAGCGACAGGTACATCCAGAGGGTGTCGTTGTGTGCCTCTGGCGAGCTCTGAGCTTTCATCTCCTTTGGAAGATGCGCTCTGCCTTGCTATCCCGACAGCCCTTCTCTGGCTTGCAAAAGTGTTTAGGGTTTAGGGTTTAGGGTTTCGGGTTTAGGGTTTAGGGTTTAGGGAGCAGTCACTGGGCAGAGCAGATCTTGGTAGCCCAGTGACCATATTATAGTATGGGCACCCTTTCTTGGGTGGGTTACTTTATACAGGAACCCATAACCCTAAAAAAGGGTAAAGGGTGCCATGGGGCTACCAAGAGCTGTTCCGTAATTCGCCAGAGAAGTTGGCAAGGGCCTGAAAAATCCTGAACTCGGGTTTAGAGAAGAGGAACAAAAGCGGGAGGTTGAGACAGCCGGCTTGGCTTGGGTTTTGGCCCAGAGGGGTGACACAAGCGAACACCTGCATGGATGCTTTGCATCAGCCACGCAAGGGCTCTCAAACAGACCCTAAACCCTAAACCCTAAACCCTAAACCCTAAACCCAAAACCCTAAACCCTAAACCCTAAACAGCACATTCGGTCACTTGTCCGGTCGCCGACTGCCCTGTCGCGAAGACTGAGGTGCAACTGGTGCCATCCTGAGCGAGCTTCTTTGCTGAGTCATGGGTTTAGGGTTTAGGGTTTAGGGTTTAGGGTTATAGGGTTTTGGTTTAAGGTTCAGGTTTAGGGTTTAGGGTTTAGGGTTTAGGGTTTAGGGTTTAGGGTTTAGGGTTTAGGGTTTAGGTTTTAGGGTTTAGGGTTTAGGGTTTAGGGTGTAGGGTGTAGGGTTTGGGGGCATGAAGCGGAGTTGGATACAGCACTGCATGTTGGACACAACTTGAGAAGCTGCAAGGACCCCGCTGTGTGGCAAGCTGGGAGCACACGAGGCGTGCGTTCAGCTCCAGTAGCCTGTCGCACATGGGGTTTCCGAGAATAGGGGCACCAATGTTTAATTTAGGGTCTAGGGTTTAGGGTTTAGAGTTTTGGGGTTTCCTAGAGTAAGGATGATCGTATTTTGGCGCATTTTGGGAAATGCCATACATGTATGGGCTGAGGCAGGATGTCTCAACAATCCAACGTGTCAGATACTTTCGCCCCCTAAACCCGAAACCCTAAACCCTTAACCCTATACCCGAAGCCCTAAATTAAACATTGCGCCTGGTCATCGTTCGCTTCCGTGTGGAATGCAGCCACCTGGCAGAACGTGCCCGGCTGCTCTTCAGCAACGCCCTTGCCCAAAAAAGGTTAGCCTTTTATTATATATGGTAGGATTCTATTTACCCAAAAAAGGAGAACTCTATGTACCCAAAAAAGGATAAAGGTCACCTACCCAGCCCCTCAGCCCAAGAAGTTCAACCTTTACCCTAAACCCTAAACCTTAAACCGTAAACCCTAAACCCTAAACCCTAAACCCTAAACATCAAGAATCGAAACAAGGCGGTTGCCACTCTTCGGCTTCGGCCAAGCTAGGGCTGCTGCTTGTCGCAGCCTGGTCAGCATCTGCACGAGATGTCTAGGGACTACGGTTTATTGGGTAGTGCAGCTGACCTCGGAATGACTGCCGAATGTGATGTTACTTAGGGTTTAGGGTTTAGGGTCTAGGGTCTAGGGTTTAGGGTTTAGGGGGTTTAGGGGGTTTAGGGTTTAGGGTTTAGGGTTTAAGGGTTAAGAAGGGTTAAGGGTTAAGGGTTAAGGGTTTAGGGTTTAGGGTTTAGGGTTTAGGGTTTAGGGTTTAGCGCTACCGGACTGCTTGTAAACATCGAGCCGTTTCACCATGACGGGAACTCTCTTGTTCCTGCCTGGCTGTCTCAAGGAATGTTGTGGAAGAGCCTCAATAGCAAACAAGGACCTAGCAACACTTCACTGATCTTTGACATTTTTTTCGTAAGCCGCGGGATCTGCGCTCTTTGTCCCACACAAGAAGACCCCAAATTTCATAAACTCAATCTTAACGTCTTCTGCTTGCTTCTGTTTAACGACTCTATTCGGTTTGCGCACCAAGTGCGACAGATTCATGAACCGAATAAAGTACCGTCCTGTGACAGTCCTGTGTTGAAACCTTTAATGAGTTGTACGTGAGAGAGTAAACGAGCAAACAGATCAAAGTTAATCGCAGATTGAGAGAAAAAGCCTTTCATTCCGTAT